TGAAAACATAGTTATGAACTAGCCCTAAGGTACACCTCACTTTAAGTTTAATTCCCCAGCAGAGTCGCCAGTTCTGTGATCGGTGGATCTGGAACTGACTGTTTAACGTTGGTTCGCGAAATGTCGCGGAAGCAAGAGTCGCCATCGTCTTTTATTTTCTCCAAATGGAAAGTACAAAAGCACAGAAAAATTCCTTAAAGAGATTGCTCTCGGTTCGGGAGGTAGGTTATAGAAAGGGAAGGTGTTAGCACCCTTTCTATCCATGGTTATCCATGGGCTCTTAGATACTTGCTCAATGTGTTTTCAAAAATGGTTTATTTGCTTTTCAACTGTGGGTTTAAAAAAAGTCTCTTTGAAAATTCCAGTTCGACTCTTGTATCGGTCCTCAAGAGTGTTTGAAAAATTGCTTTCGAAAGCTTTTTGAAAATGTGTTGGTGTGAAAAGGATTTTTGATTTGTTTTGTTTTGAATTAGAGCAAGTATCCACGAGTCGTCTACCTACCCTAAGGAATTCGTCTGTGTAGATGTCCTTTAAAGTAGTGCCATCCCACCATTGAGAGGTAGGTAGCACCACCGTTGGAGGTGTTCGGGTCAATTCGAGGTTCGGGACATGGTGATCACCAGAGCAATGGGAAGACACCTTAGAAGCTACCCTCATGCCAGGTTCCCGGATCATGAGGACTTACTAATACATCCTCTACTCGACGATCACCTTTCGAGGCAAGGCAACAGTGAGGCGTACCCTAGGGGTGGTGTGTGTGATTTATGTGTCGTTTTCATTTGCATTTATCTTGTCATATTATTGGTGTTCTACGCTTGTTTTTATTTTGTCCATACATTCTTTTATCTTGTTTTTATTGGTGTTCGAACTTTCCGCTGGGCTCCCCCAAGGTGTCCCGTATTCCTTTCTGAGGAAGAACTGGCAGTGTGATCTGTACTTTCTCCAACTTTCGCCTCAGGATTTCAGTAGCCTGTGTCAAATTTTGTTTTTGGTTCTCCTGGCCTTCAGTAGCCTGGATTTCTTTCGAAGCAACCAAAGGAACAGCTTCGATCAAAGCTTCTTGTTCCTTATGGAAGTCCTCAGTAACTTCCTTTTCGATTTCAACTAACACGTAGTTTTCATCTTCAGAGTTTTCCTCTTCTGATGGAGTGTCACCTTCATTTGTTCCAACCATATTTATCTCTCCAATGTATGCAGGTTCAGAGTAATTGGTGTCAGCAACATCTAAAGGGTCATCATCCAATTTCATCTTTGGCTTGTCAGCGAACCTTAATCTACCATCCTTGATTGCATTTTGAATCAGATCCCTGAAAAGAAAACATTGTGAGGTTTTGTGGCCTAAGAAACTGTGATACTTACAAAACCCTCTTTTCTTTCTTTGATCTAAAGGTGGTAATTTGACATTCGATGGCACTATTAGTTGGCCATCTTTGACAAGCAGATCAAAAATTTCATCACATTTCGTTACGTCGAAGGTATACACCTTCTTTGGAAACTTGTCACTTTTCTCATTTTCAATAATTTATTTCCCTTTAGTGGGGACTAGTAATTTACAAGAGTAAGGTGGAGCCTGTTTCAATTCAGCGAGATCAATTTCAACCTCTTCGAATTCAGGGTAATCTTCTGCTTCCTCAGTTTCGACATAGGAAACCCTTTCTTTCTTGTTATTTTTAAAAACCCTGGCTTTCTCGGCCTTTAATCTTTCGACTTTTCAAACCCTGTCCGCTAATTGGGCCATATCCCTCAAGTATTGTATATCTAATTTCTTTCGAATGGAGTAGTCTAGGCCGCCAGCAGCCATTTCGACTAAATCATGTTCAGGAACTACTGTGAAACATCTAGACTTCAAGAGTCTGAACCTATTCAGATAATTATCTATGGGTTCAGTAAACTTCCTCTTGACATTGGCTAGCTCTTTCAGACTTATTTTAGATTGTCCCATGTAGAATTGTTCATGAAATAATCTCTCCAAAAGAGTCCAAGTATCTATGGATCCAAGAGGCAATATGGTGAACCATGTGAAAGCGTTCTTAGTTAGGGAACTTGGGAAATATTTAATCCTAAGGTTCTCATTATTTGTTATGTCTCCTGCTTCGGTCAGATACCTGGCTATGTGTTCGACCGTTGACTCATTAGTGTCTCCAGCGAACTTTGTAAATTTAGGGACCTTATATCCCCTTGGTAAATCAGTGTGCATCACATAATCTATTATGGGAGAGGAATAGTTTGGCCTTCTAATTCCTGTATTGAGACCGTTTTGAGCCGTAACCCTTTCTATCATGGTGGTTAAATTATTTTCTGCCAAGATGTTGTCATTTTGAATTCTATGAACGACTTCATCAGCATCTTGGTGTCGACCCACCATGACAACTCCTCTAGGTTGTTCTTCTGGAAACTCTGGGACCTCTAACCTTTCGACCCTTGCCCCTGGTTCTATAACTCTCCCTTGTGGTTCCTCTCGAATCACCGGGGCTTCTTGTCTTTGTGCCCTTGCCCCCAAGTTAACCCCCTCTTTGGATGGTCTATAGGGTGGGTCGTCAACAATTTGTTCTATGATGGGTATGTTTGCTCGAACCAACGCCTGATTTTGCCTACGCCTTTCTGGCGGAGCGAAAAAATCTGCTATTCGACTCATGTTGTCCGCGTTTTCTCTGTTGGTTACAGTTACATTTTATACTATTGGGGAAAAGATTTCTTGCATAGTCTGCGCTAACACTCCTATCATATTATGGTTACTATCATCCATTAATTGTCTAAAAGCCATCTGATTTTCTGTGGTTAAGATAGGCAGTGTATTATGACCTACTGAACCTGGGATATTTGTCATAAATTGGTTGGCCCCAGATCCGGACCCAAATTGTGGTGACGAATTTGATGTGGAATTGTGCAAACCCGCCATAAAAGATGTTGGCATCCCATAAGAGGGATTTTTGAGTCTATTGCCATCGAAACCGGGTGCTCTAGTTGGTGGTGGGGTGGCGAAATGGGTTTGTGTCCCTGATGGTGGGACAAATCCCGCAAGATAACCAGTGGTCCCTGTATTTCCTAGGGTCGAACTGTTGGTTGTCGTGCCACTTGCTCCATTTGTAGCCACACTACTGGTAGAAGATGCAACGGACTGTGTGTTCGTAGGCATCGCGTTAGACGTCCCCGTCGAAACAGACGTATTGGTGCCTGTTCCATGTGGGGCATTTTGTTCCCCTTGTTGATTGTTTGGATTAGACATCCTACTACTATGTTTTCTTCTGGGTAAGGGTTGGTTACTATTAATTGTTTTACCACTTCTAAGGTTCATATAACAGCGAAATTGATACTCAGAAAAGAACTTACACAGCGAGATTATATCCTAAAACTCTTTACTTTTGACTTTCTTAACAACGTGTCCCACCGGGTGTGCCAATTTGTTCACAGTGATTTCTGGTAAACAACCGCTAGTCTTCCAAACTATCGAATAAACTTAATTACTGTTATTCAATTTCTCTGGTAACTTGCAGGATCGACTAGATTGATCCTATGGTACATAGTTGTTTGGCCAAGTCTAATTGTAAAACTGGTATTCATATTTAGGACTTCTAATTAAAGTGTTTCAGAGACATCCAATCCACTTCGATTACTATACTAAATGATTCGAAGGATAATTTATATATGGTATAAGGAATGTTCATTAGAAAAGTAAACAGACTTAAGATTGGGTAAATGGCAGGATTAAGTGAGTGAGTATAAAAGTTGTTGAATGTTTAAAGGATTCGAACCTAAGGAAAGCGTTTAAATGCAGAAAGAAATAAATGACTCTGAATGTAGAAACTCTAATGTAAAGGCATGAACGTAAAAATGTTTGAAGCACAAATGAAATGGAAATGAAAGACAAAACTGGAACATATAAAGAGTTTTCATTGAATTGTAAATGTTGGTGTTATCATACGTACATCTTTCGAGCATTCGTTTCCCTATCCATGCGGTATTTTGAATATTTACTGAATTTGTACAATAGATATGACACACCAAATCCTAACATTAAGACCTTTATTTATACTATTTCGACCATAACAGTCTTGCTATCAGAATCTGCCACGTTCGAAGCATGCAGAGCATTACTTCCCTCTAGCCTCCACGCGTCCTCGAACGCTCCAACGCTTATGTATTTGAATTTCAAATATCCCGCTCACGTTTGAATTTCAAACGCCTTGGAACCTTCGTTTCGAATTCGTTTCAAGGGTTATTTTCGAAACAACTTTCACAAATATAATCTCATCATTATTTCGAACATTCTTTTAGACTTACACTCCACAACCATCATTCGAAACCTTGAACTTTATTATTTCCATTCGAAAAAACAGTCTCTTTCATTGCCAATTTGTAAAACTTGCTTTATTCAAACAAAGCCCAATCATTTCATTTCGAATCACAATATCAAAATCTTCAGCCAACAGGGGTGCAAGTCTTAAATGGGGTGAACCCAAGTAAACCCAAGTAAAATGCTAGAAAATGTGACCCAAAAGCCTAAGTAAAAAAGAAAAGCCTAAGTAAAAAAGAAATTAATTTCTAATTAATATTATAATTAAATAAGAATTTAAAGAAGAACAAGCAAGGGTGGAGCGCCCCCTTATCTCAGGTCTATTAATATTTTGAGAAAAAGAAAAGAACAAAATCTTTAATCTTTCAACCACACCACCGCCCAATGCAAGGCTGGCACACTAAAAAGTAAAAAATGAAAAAAACGTATAAAATTCTCATCTTCCTTCTTCCAATTTGTTTCATATTTTTCTCAAACACCAACCTGTCTTCTCTAATCCTCTTCTTCCTCAATCTTTCTTAACACAGAACATATATATCCAACATACTGCCAAACGTATAAAATTCAAATGAAAAGGGGCAAACCGTGTGGCGCGATTGGGCGTTGGCGCGACGTGTTCGCAACGGTCGACAGTAGAAGCATCGATGGATCACGTTGCGATCTAGTGGGTTTTACGCAGAAGCGCGGTTCCGATCTGAGCAGTGGATCAAAGAGTTCTAACGGTGATTTGGAGAGGAGACGCAAAGTTCGTCAAGGGTAGCAGGTGCGTGGCACATGGCTGGAAAATGACGTACAGGGGATGGTGACGAACGTGCTCCATGAGTAGTGGTCCGCGGTGTTGATGATGGCGGTCAAGCAAGGGCGTCGCAAGGCATGATGTTGTTTTCTGTAACTGTAATGTTAGGAATATGTGCGAAAATATGACTTGGAAATAAGGATTTGTAATACCGAAAAAATGTGTTCCTTTTTTAATGAGTGGTGTTAGCATATGTACAGAAACTGACGAACATGAAAAGACGGGGATATATGTGTTAATAAATTTAAAGAAACACACCCATCATGCAGAGATCATGACTTGGTTTAAAAAGATCGAAGACTAACTAAAAATTTGATGAAAATTATGTGTGTAAACATATGAATTTTAAAAGAGGAAACCATCGGATGTACATCATTTGGTTTTGACAACAAACAAATCAAAAAGAAGAAGAAAAGATAAAATTGAAACAAAAGGGTGACGTCATATTTAATCATTGGTCAAAAGTAAAAAAATCACCAATAATTTTGAAAATAAAATTTTGAAAATAAAATTTTGAAAAGCAATTGAAATTGTAAAATCGTGGTTGCGTAGTGAAATTGTGAGAAATTGTTGATTTGTGAGAGATTGTGGATTTCGTGGATATTGTGTGTGAATTCTGGATGCTTAACTAGGACAAACTAAGGTCCTATTTATAGATAAAAGAAACCGTCCAAATTGAAAATAAAAATAAATTGACCAATCAAAAATAAGGTGTGACACAAGTTGACACGAAAGCACAAGAGATTCAAACTCGTGACCTCATTCTTATAAGCTTCATTCTTTACCAATTTTGCTATGTTACTTATTTGTAAATAAACTCAATTGAAAATATATGAAAGGTGTGTAAATATTTGCTATTTTAAAAATACAAACAATTTTAAAATGAATCATTATATTTTTAAATAGGTTTGGAAGCAAATGTTTATAAAAATCAAATAATATTATAAAAAACAAAGTTTAAAATATTTTTGACTGGACTTGAGAATGAACATCTATAAAAATCAAATAATATTATAAAAACAATATTTTAAAAAAAAATTGACTGCAGAAATAAAAGGGCATGCAAATTTGGGGTATGACACTAATGTTGTGCCTGGTATTGCAAGAAAATCAAATCCAGGAAAGTGAAGGATGCAAGTGTCACACCCCTGCCAAAACAACCAAGAAGAAAATCTTGTATGGACCCCCAAAGTCAGGAAGTAAACTGGTTCCTCCCTCTAGCAAAAGAAAAGCTAGACCCGATAGCTCCAATGACGATGATGATGATGATATTGTAAAAAGATCTAAAAGTAAAAAGAAAGTCGTGGTTGTTGAAGAAGTTGACTCAGACTATGATGTCGAGCAAGATGTCCAGGACATCTCTCCTATCAAAAAGTCTACAAGCAAGAATATTTCTGTTAGGGTTCCTAATGCTCCCCTTGACAACATTTCCTTCCACTCTGTTGGGAATGCTGAAAAGTGGAAGTATGTGTTTCAAAGAAGAATTGCCTTGGAAAGAGAATTGGGAGCTGGTGCTCTGGAATGCAAAGAAATCATGGAGCTGATATCTTATGTTGGACTGATAAAAACTGTTACCATGTTTGCCAAATGCTATGAGACTCTTGTTAAGGAATTCATTGTTAATGTTCCTATTGACTGTGTTGATCATAAAAGTAAGGAGTATGGAAAGGTGTATGTTAGGGGTAGATATGTAGAATTTCCCCTGCTATCATAAATAGATTTCTGGATAGGACTGAAGATAACTGTTGTAAGCTGGAAGTAACAGATAATCAAGCGTGCAGAGTCATCACTGCTAATCAAGTAAGTGAGTGGCCCATGAAAAATAAAATTCTTGTCAGCAAGCTTAGTGTGAAATATGCTATTTTGTACATAATTAGAGCTGCAAATTGGGTTCCCATTAATCACACTTCAACCATCTCCATTGGATTAGGAAAGTTTCTTTATACTGTTGGAAACCAGAAACTTTTTGATTATGGTACTTACATCTTTTATCATACTATTAATCATGCAGGAACTTGTGCCATTAAGATGTCAATTGCTTTTCCTTCCCTCATCTGTGGAATTATTCTTAATCAGCATCCTGGAATCCTAAGTGGAAATAATGTAGTGTGCAAGAGGGAGTCTGCTTTAACCCTTCATTTTAAGCCCTTTTCAGGAAAGCATGTCCTAGACATTGTTTTGACATTTACATCTGCTGAAAAGACCTCCACCAAGGATGACATGATCAAAGAATTAAGAGAATCCTGTAAGGAATTGGATGATGTGATCAGCGTTAGCTCAACAAGTAAGCTAACCTTTGAAAAGATGAGCAAGGACCTGCAAAAGGACAGCAACCTTGATGATACAATAAACTCTGAAGGTGAAGACTCTAGTGAGGAAGGAAGTTTTGGCTCAGCCAAGTCAACTGGTCCTGATGACAATTAGACTAATTGATGTTTCTTTATTTGACCCTTTTGTTTCGTTTTAGCACTTGCATGTGCTTGACATTTGATTTCTATGGTCTGTACCTAAGTTACTGATACACTCTTGAATGCATCCTTTTATTTGGCATATTATGACTGAAAAGGGGGAGAGAAAGTGACTGACTGACCACTAACTAACATCTGATTGAGGGGAAGCTTAATACTTGAGGGAGAGCCTCATGTCTCAGAAGATGTTTTGACATCTTCCCTGCTAATAGCTAACAGCTAACTGCAAACTGAGTTGTTGTTTTTTTGTTTTGCTTGCTTTGCTTATGATGCTGCTCTGATATTTCTCTGATAATGTTTTAGCCAAAATTTTCCAAAGAGGGAGTTTGTAAGTGTTTGTTAGCAGCAATTTTGGTAAAACAATATGTTGTTAATGTTTTGCTAAATGTCTTGACATTTGTAGCAAACTGTTTTGAATGATGTCAAAGCAGATGTCTTGACATCTACCTCCTGAACTGAGCTCAGCCAACATTAGTTTATTTTTTTCTGTTTCCTGATTTCCTGTGCTCCATAATTCAAGATTTGTGACTCACGGGCTGCGAAAAATATGGAAGAATATTTTTCAAAATGCATGGGTTTTATTTTGACCTGTTTTTATGGAAATATTCAAAAGAATTAAATATTTGGTTTTAAGCCCAAGCCCACAGTTGCGCATATATAAGGACTTGCTTCCTTATTCAAACTACTAAAACTTTTGAAGAAGAATACTTTCTTTCTGTTTTAAAAGTCTAAGTCTTTTAATTGTCAAACACTCTAGTATTGATTTAATACTTGTGTTATTATTTAGGTTGTTAATTATGTATCATTCATAAGCTTTTAAGCATTGAATGATTGAAGTTTTTAAACTTATTATTTTTGTGGTTTCTTCACTGTAAGTGATTGAAGGGATTTAAGGAGGGCCTTATACCTAGGTGAGTCTTAGGTAGAAGTATAGCACGGGTAGTGATTAGATCATAAACTGGTAGTTTACTGAGGGTCTATGAATTGATACTATTTAGTGGACTTGTCCCTGGCTTGGTAACCCCCAGAGTAGATGTTGTTGTACACTGAACTGAGTGAAAAATCTGTGTTTTTACTACTTTAATTATTACTTCTCTTTACTTGTAAACATATATTTGTGACATGACATCTCATTTGACATCACATATCTGATACCAGAATTTCAGTGTGTTACATGGATTTGCTTCTAAGTTTGTACGTTGTGTCTAATCAGAGCTTCAAAATGTAATTCTCACATCATCTTCTATGCACTTTTATCATAACTTCTCTAAATATTCAAATATATTATTAGAGAGCATATTTATTATTTAAATATATCATGTATTTGTTATCATCAAAACTATTACAAAGATGTAGAACGAAACTATGTTCTAACAATATGGACTGCCCCAAGATTTGAATATTTGAAAAGTTTGTACTTGAAATTGCTTGAAAGTAACCTTGGATCTTTACATGTTATAAGATGAACTTGATGTGAACTACCCCAATGTTTGAGTCTCGGAGGTTGCCCCCTGATTATTAGGGTGTTGAGAAGTTTCTGAAAGAGGAAACTGAGTCCTACCATGTTGTGATATGAACTTGATTAAGGAATTCCCCTTTGAAAGGTATGCCCCTGATTGAACGGTGCTTTGAAACGTGATCGGAGTTGATCGAATACCAGAATGATCACCCATTATCAATAGGATTTTCATCTGATATACCCATACAATCATTAGTATGGCTTATGATTATAAGGTTCTTCTTTAGATTCTTTTCCCCTAGTTAGGAGTTTCTTGGAAAGGATATTTTTGACTAAACCAAATCTTTTTAAGATCTCTTTGATGCTAAATATTGATCCGCATATAAAATTGCACATTTTGAAAAGTAATTCTTAGTGATGCACGTGCAAGTTTTGAAATTGAATTTGTTATGGAATAGAGATGGATGATTAGAGATGGAGATTCAAAGAAGCGAAGTGGTCAATAATAATTTTAACAAACATATGAGTCAGTTTAACACAATTTTTGCCGAGTATGCTTTCATGGTTAACCTGGCTTCAGTTAGGACTTTTGAAGGTTGTAACATGGCCTGGTTAGTGGTTTAAGAAACAAAGGATATAAGGCTCAAAATTTATTTATCCCACCACATTCTCCTTGATGTTCTCCAATCCTAAGTTCAATTAATCCAACGGATGCGTTCAATCTCCAAGAGAAATTTCGCAGTCGCGCAGATAATGAGAAGCGTAAATAAAGATCCAAGCACCGATGAAAAGTGTTTGATAAGATCCAAGCATTGATGGGAGGCCTTTTTTGAGGTGGCAGTCACAAGGTTGTTCTCCAATATTCTCTTCTTTTTTTTTTCAATCCCTTATTTTTGCATGGATCAATCCTTTTTGAATTTGTGGTCCATCGGGATGCCCTAACTTTTGCCTAAGTCAAGTTTTTTCAATTTTTACTTGACTTAGTGGGCTTTATTTTGTTTGAATTTCTTCTTTTTTTCTATTTTGAACATTTTGTGACTGCCATACTGATTGTTGTAAGCTTCGTCTTCATTGTTTCCTCGATCTTGAATGATGTACTGAGAAAGAATGTCGTGGACTTTATCTTCATTGATTCCTCAATCTTGGATGATGAATATGAGGAAAATGATGTGCTTGAACCTTTGGTTAGATCGTTTCTTCAATGATGTATCAAGGAAGGAGATATGCTTGAACTTTTGCTTAGATTGTCCCCTTAGTGATGTATA